GGGACCCAACCGGAAGCTACTGGAAGCTTCCAGCCAGGCCAGACGCAGCATCCAAGAGGCTGCCACTTCCACAAAAGGAGGGAAGCAGCCCAGGCCAGGCATTCTGGCCAGCGCTGGCAATGCGGAAGTGCTGCTGCGCTCTCGCTTGATGCTGCACTGCTGCCAAGGGCACTGACGGGGCGCGAGAGGTGAAGTGGGGCGCTGCAGGGGAGCGGGGCGCAGGCAGCCATAGCCGGGCGGCGCCAGGGGGGTACAGCGGATGATCAGGTGGTCTTCAGGGAAGGAGGCGCTGTGTGGGGTAACCGAGGTCTGATTGAGGGTGACGACATACGTACCTGGTACATGAAGAGAGGTCGGCGATGGTGTTGGCAGTCATGTACATTGGTCTTCAAGAGTCGAAGTGACCCTGTTGTGTGAACTGGCTGTAGGTAGGCTAGTCAGGTAGAGTAGGCTGGGCGCCGAGCGCCAGACAGGAGAGAGCGACTTTGGATACTGTGTTGGTGTGGCCTACGGGCTTGGACATTGGCTCATTACTTCATTGTATTGCTCTATATGGATGGTTTTCTCAGTGCATGTGTACTCTCTGCTTGGTACATGACTACTTATTCAGCTGTGGGATTTCGCAACTTGGTTTTATGTATATCGCTCACACTCATATTTCTTGCAGACAGCAATACCTCCCCAAATAATTGGAAAATGCGAGAAATTTCAAAACCCACAAGGAGCCAGGACTATAAGGAGCTGTTGATTTTTACCCAAAAATAAATAATAAGAAAAAGAAATTGACAGAATGGATATGGATCCAGGACCATAAGGACCTGTTTAAGGGAAAAAAAAAAAAAAAAAAAAAAAAAAAAAAAANNNAAAAAAAAAAAAAAAAAAGAAGAAGAAGAAGAAGAGAGAATCGAGACGACAACCCAGGAGTAAGAGGACAGGATGTATGAAGGATCGACAGCAAGACCTCCTGGAAGTACTTTCTTTTTTAATTCCAAAAAAAAAAGCGAAATTGAAAATTTCGAATTTAGGCCAACAACCCAGCCAGAATATGTTCATGGACCGTTCTCATCAGGCGGTCGCACAATTTGTAATGGGCAGTACGATCTGTATACGCACAGCATCAGGCGTCCAGGTACATGCTGACAGGGGCAGAATCGCAATTTCAATTTTCCCAGGTGATACTACATTTGAAATTCACCCAGGCGAATAAAAACGGAGCCAACCACACGCCCCAAAAAGGGGAAAGCGCCACCGACCCCATGTGGCTGAATGATACATTTGTAATTTGCAACTGTGGATAAAACACATCCTGAGTTCGAATCCCGACTGAAATCGGACAAGACGGAATCAGATGGAGGCAGTCAGGTGATGATGATGAGTGAGCGCCTCGCTACACCACTCTCGAAATGTGAGAAAGACAAAAATGTGGCGGGTGCATCTGGTCATGTTCTAGTCGGAAGTTCATTCTCATTTCGCACATTTTCAAGAGTCGTGTGGCAATGCCCTTCGTTGCAGTCAGTCTGAGTCGAGTTGAGTCAGATCTGTGTGTATCAGTCTTCCAATGCATTGTATTTGATCGTTCCTCGGTTTCTACGCCATGCCCATCCGCTCGTCTCCGGGGGCACGACATCAGGCTAGTGACTACCACCTTCCTAAGTGAATACATAAATAAACTTCAAAAAAAAAAAAAAAAAAGAATAAACAAACAAATACATAAACAACTAGGTTACCAGCCGGGCAGCCCGGGTCACCTTGTTTGACCGGGCCGTCCGGCCGTTGCAAGGACCATGGGAGGTCCCAGCAAAAAAAAAAAAAAAAAAAAAAAAAAAAAAAAAAAAAAAAAAAAAAAAAAAAAAAAAAAAAAAAAAAACAAATCTAAAAAAAAAACTATGTTATGCAGAAAAATAAACCGAACAACTTTTGGCTCCGGGCCACATCGAAATTCTTCACCAAGTTTAAAATAAAAAAAGTAAAATTAATATATATTCAATTATATTGTCAAACATAGCTGCCCAGTAAACCGTAGGCAGAGAGGGAGAAGAGGACAACAAACGAGGTGGCTATGACGAACTGTTTCGTCGGAGTGTCACTGACTCATCAGAAGGCTGATATATATCGTCAAACAGAACTGCCCGGTAAAGCGTCGGCAGAGAGGGAGTGAGAAGAGGACAACAATATATATTGTCACAAAGTTATCAGAGCGCAAAAGCGAAAAAAAAACAAAAGGAAACAAAAAACTTGAAAAAAGATATCAATTCATTTTATATCTTCTTCCTTAACACTCCCTCTGTTCAGAACCTCTTGCGTACAAGGCCGCCCACGTGGATGTGGTTGAGCGGCGGCTGCAAAAAAACAAATCCCAAATACATATCTATATACAGCAGATGGCCTTGTTCGTCATCAAGCCGTTGGTATTCCCATTCCTAAACCATTCATGCTCTCATATGCCGAACAGCATAAAAACCCGGATGACTGGTCCCACACGAAAGCACCGCTACGCTTG